ACTCTGGGGCCTCCCAGTTATTGGTTCCTCTCACCTTCCAGGTGAGGGATCGGCTCCTAGGCCTGATACTCTGGTCCCTCCCCGGGGCCGCCTCTGTGCCTGTTGCCCTTCTGGTCACCCTTTGTGGGCAATGCTGCCCCTCACCCAGCCCGCCAGCCACCCACCGTCCAGCCTTAGCCAGGCAGCCCCTCCTCCTGCAGACTCGCCTGGCCTCCCCGGCCGGGGGGCGCCTGGGGCTCGCGGCTGCCTGCTGTGTGTCCCGGCCCCTGAGCCCTGCGCTGGGCACAGGGAGTGCAGCGCGAGGTAGGAGTCCAGGCTCGTTGTGTTTAATTACAGTTTCCTGTTGTTCCAGCACCGTTTGTTGAAAGGGCTGTCCTTGCCCCGTTGAGTACGTTGGCTCCTTGTTTGGAAATTTCTGGCCATCTGTGGGTGGTCAGTCTCGTTGAGTCTTGAAATCCGTTGTCCTGTCCTGCAGCCGTGTCCATCTTCTCTTGACATGGTTTTGGATACCTCCAGTCCTTCCTACGTCAGGATAAATTTTAGAATGTTTGTCAATTTCTGTTTTTTTTAAAGCCTGCTGTAATTTTATTTGGGATTACGTTGGATCTATGGATTGATTTAAGAGAACTGACATCTTAACAGTCTTGCCTCTTCCCAGCCGTGGACCCGTGAGTCTTTCTTTCATTTATGTGTTTTTTGGTTCCTTTCAGCACTTCCTACAGGTTGTAGTGTACAGCTCCTGCACGTATTTAGTTAAATTTATCATATCAATTTTGTGTTTTTTATGCTACTATAAAGGTATTATTGTTTAAATTTCACTTTTCCATTATTGGCTGCTAGCACACTGAACATCAACTGATTCTGTGTATTGCTTGTGACCTCGGACCTCAGATTCCCTTATCAGTTCTAGTGGTATTTTTTAAAGAATCCTTGGGATTTTCTGCACAGCTGCACGTGTCTTCTGTGACGTAGTAGTTTTACTTCTTTGTTTTCAATCTTTGTACTTCTTATCTTTATCCCCATCACAGCTTTATAAAAGTGTGATTTTACAGTTAGAATATTGTAAACTTGTCGAAGGCCAGGAGAAAGGATGCGAGTGTGCATACCTGCCTTGTCCCCTCTGGGGACACATCCCGTCTCTCCTCGCAGGTACGCGAGTGTTGGTTTATTTTCCAGCTTCTCTTTATCAGGTTGGACAAGCTCCCTTTTTTTCCCTAGCTTTCTGAGAGTTTTTATAATGAATGAGTGTTGAGTTTTGTCAAATGTTTTTTCCTGCATAATTTATTGAGTTGATTTTCTTCTTTTTAAATTTATTCAGTTAATATGAGAATTATATTAACTGATTTGTGAATGTTGCCCAGCCTTGCCTTGCTTGGGTGAGCTCCTCTTGGTCATCACATACCATCCCTTGTGTATCTTGCTGGATTCAACTTTCTCCTATTTTGTTAAGAATTCTTGCTCCTTTGTTCACAGGTGATGTGTGGTGTTCTTTTCCTCTAGACTCAGGCTTAGGTTTTGGGGTCAGGGTGAGGCTGGCCCATGGAACGGCAGTGTTCCCTTCTTCTCTCTGTTCTGGAGGACTTGGTGTGGTATGCATGTTTCTTCTTTAAATATTTGATAGTGAAGCCACCTGTGCCTGGTATTTGTGGGAATGTTTTTAAGAACAAATTTAATTCTTTCAATAGATGTAGAACTATTTAGGTTTTCTCTTTCTTCTTGAGTCAGTTTTGATAATTCATGTCTTTCCAGTAATGTTTCTGTTTTGTCTTACTCGTCACATTTATTGACTTAATCTAATCCATAATATTTCCTTACCTGCCTTTTCGTGTTGGGTCGGAGCCACATCCCTCTTTTATTCTTGATCTTGGTAATTTGTGGTTTTTTCCCTCTACTTGTCTAGATCTGTGCAATTTTTGGATCCTTTCACAGAATACCTTTTGGTTTTGTTGATTGTTTCTATCCTTGGCCTGTCTCGTAGTTCATTAGTCCTTGAACTTACAACCTCTCTCTCCGTTGTCTCTGTCCTTCACTTCCTTTGTGTTTAGTTTGCTGGCTTCTTAGGTGCACCTTTAAGACACTGATTTTTTTCTTTCCCTTTTTTAACATAAGAATCTGAAGCTATAATTTCCTTTGAGCACTGCTCTAGCTCTGTCCACCGCCTTTGTTTCCTGGTGTTTTCATTACTGTCTAGTTCTCTCTTGTTTATGGTAGAAGGGGTGGTCTGTACCGGTCACCCCGTAGGAGCGGTGAGGGAAGGCTTTGTACTGGTTAGTTATTAAAATGCGCAGCTGGGAAGTGGCCATCTCCAGATACCCCTGTGGCCCTGGCTGCCTCGCCTTGACTGGCGGTTCTCCTTCCTGTGTTCCTGCCACCATGTCTTGGGTGTGTTTTTTGGCATCCTCTTGTTGGCAGAGGGCCTTGGCCGAGTGGTGCCTGGGGAGGTGCCAGGTAGGTAAGGAGGCCTCATTCACCCTGATCCTGCATAGCCTCTCTATTCCCCAGGGAGACAGGGAGGATTCTGACACGACACGGCACAGGCAGCAGCTGACAGTTGTCTCTGGACGTGGCTTCTGTGTTCTGGTACCCGAGGCTTCGTGAAGCTGTGGCATGAGAATGAGAGGGCCGTGCGGCTCATTCCCTGCCCAATGGAGTCAGGAGGAGTGCACGGGGCAGTGGCAGCAGAGGCGCGTGTGGGGCCCTTGGCCCTCCCAGGGGAGGTGGCCTCAGGCGCGTGCTGGGGGCACTTGCCACCACTCCTGCCACATCCTAACCATCCAGGCAGCTGTTGCTGGCTGTTGGAAGCCCCGGGCTTGGCTGCCTGCACCCGTCTGTCATGGTGGCTGCAGAGGTAACAGCGGTGCAGAGGCACTGAGGCAGGGATGCGTCGGGCATGTTTGAGAACAGTGGGGAGACTGTGAGACGGGGCGGAGTGAGCATGGGGCACCATTGGGAGGTGAGGTCAGAGATGCAGAGTGAGGCCTGGAACGCCCTTGGGAGGACTCTGGCTTTGACCAGAATGACACGTGGGTCATTGGAGAGCTCTGGGGTTTGGAGTGACATGATCTGGCCTTTCCTGTAACAGGCTTGCTGCAGCTGTGGTATATGATGGAGTGTGATGCAGCCTAGAGTAGGGGCGAGGAGGCCGGGCTGTAGCCCTGGTGTGGGGTGGCGAGCTGGAGCCGTGGGGTGAGAGACGCGCCAGCATTGGATTAACTTCCCAGTGTCACACCGGTTGTTTGCTGCTGGGATGTGCCAGTGGGCTGCATTGAAGGAGGAGAGGACAAAGATGGAAGCCCCAGGTTTTTGGCTCAAGGGGCTGGACAGACAGAGGTGCCGGGAGCTATGCTGGGGGCAGGGGAGGAGTTAGTTTGGGCATGTGGAGTTGAGATGCCCGCTGGATGTCCAGGTGGAGATGTCAAGGGGGCCATTGGATAGGCCAGTCTGGAGTCCGGCCCAGGTGGGGATGTGACTGGGCGACTGTGGCACACGGGTGGATTTAGCCCTCAAGGCTGCATGAGACCACCGAAGAGGTGAGTGTGGGGAGCAGAATTGGTGGGGCAGGGCCTGAGCTCCGGCTCAGATGTGTGGAGGTCAGGGAGGCCAGGGGCCAGCAAGGCCTCTTGAGCAGGATGGCCCTGAGCTGGGGGGCGTCGGGAGGGCGAACTGCAAGCCACAGAAGGAGGGAGGTGTAGGGGCCACGGCAGGGAGGTGCGGGGGGCCATGGGGATATGTGTGGGCCATGGGGGGAGGTGCATCAAGGAGAACAGAGGGCTCAGTGGCATCAGTGACCTTGTGAGCTAATCCTGAGGAGAAAGACCACATACCTCCTGCTGTTTTCCAGTAGTGTCTTAGCAACCTCCAAGGGAAGGGTCCCCTTCACATACTGCTGTCTTTAGCCCACACCCTCTCAGGCTGGTGTAGGGTCTCCTTTCTGTCCCACTCTCGTCCCCCTTCCTGCACGAGTGACCGTCCCCCTCTCTTTGTATGCCGCATGCTCTGTGTGGTCCAAGGGCCACTGTCAGGGACCTGGGGCTCCCCAGTGCCTGCCAGGGTGCCCACTTATCAGATAGTGCCTGGCTCTCAGGATCTTCCCACGTGTCCATCCTGGGGCCAGCATGGTGCCCCCCGCCCACCGCTGCTGTCAGGGGGCCTGCAGAGAGCAGAGGAGGGGCACCGGGCTGCAGCTTGAAGGGTCTGAAGGCTTCTCTGGTGTCTGCCGGGCCCAAAGCCAGGCCAGATCCCTTCCCTCACCCGCCTGGGTGTGTGTGCCTGCAAGAGGCCTGAGGGGAGGGTTTGCCCAGGTGTCACTGCGTCCAGAGGCGCAGTGGTCAGCCCCAAGCAGGCGAGGGGCTGGTCTTTCAGTTCCTTCCGTGTCATACTCAGAGTCGTAAACTGAGGGGCCGGGGAGACCTGGGCCCGGCCCCCCGTGTTGCTGGGTCTGGAGGTGGGGTCTCATCAGGCCGGCAGAGGCCGGCCAGGGGCCCAGGTTCCCCAGCTGTGGTTCCAGGGGTGTGTCTGTGGCCACCCTGCTCCCCGAGGTTCCTGCAGTGCTGACCTCCAGGCCTTGCCAGAGGGGGTCCTGCCTGGCCTCCTTGGGGTGCGGCCCAGCCGCTACCCAGACAGAGCTTGTGTGCGGAGTGAGGGCCCTGGCCGTGGCTGACTCCAGGCTGGTGTGTCTGTGCGGCTGGCCCCTGCCCGGAGCTCACCGTGTCCTTCTCTCCCTCTTCTTACCCCTCTCACTCACTGTTCTGCCCCCTGTGTCCGTGTGTCTGTCTGTCTGTCCCTCTCCGGCCCCTCCCGTCTCCCTCCTCCTTTCCTCTCTGCCTCTTTCCTTCCTGCTGGTCCCTCTGCTCTGTCTCCGCGTGCGCCCTGCCCTCTCTGTGCTGTCCCCCTTCTGCTTCTCCCTGCCTCTCTGTGATCTTTCCCCCATCCTGGGCCCTGCTCCTGCTCTCTCTTGTCCTCCCCTTGGCCCCCGCTCCATCTGCACCTGCCCCCCTCAGGCACTCGGTGCAGCAGGAGACCAACAGCACAGTGGCCGCCAGCACCAGCGCCGTGAAGCAGATGTCAGAGCTCCTTCGGGGCTGCTCCCGGGTACGTTTCCTGGAGACTGGAGGGTGGGGTGGGGGGCGACCTGGCTGGGGGTGGGGGACGCGTGGCGGGAGGGGTGTGGGGGAAATGGACGTGCGACGATGCTCAGGCTGGCCTGGCCTGCGTGGCTGCACGGTCAGAACTCGACGTGTTGAGTCGTTCACGCAGCAGCTGTTCCCTGGGCACCCACCATGTGCCAGGCATGGTGTGGGTGCTGGGGGTCCCTGCCCTCCTGGCCGGGCTCCTCTGAGCGGAGATTGACAACATCCCCTTCTCTGTCATCCACCCAGCCACCTCCTCGTGCAACCTCCCTGTCACTGCAGTCACCTCCTCGCCAACCCCATCCTCACCAGACCACAAACGTTATCACGGTTCCCACCATACCCAGCGCCACAGCCCTCTTCACAGCCCTGACCCTCACCACAGGCCCTCCTCCATCGCTGTGGTCACTTCCTCCACTGGCCTGTCACATCCCTTCCCTTGCCAGGTCATCACACCCTCCCATCTTTGTTAGCCAAACCCTACCCTATTCCCCACAGGTTAGAGGGCACTTGTCATAAAACATTAAATACCATTAAACCCACAAATGTTTTAGAGCAGGAGTCCTTTTACATAAATCAAGTTGTATTTCTTGCCCGTTCATTTACGTATTATCCTGGCTGCTTTCGAACTACCATGGCAGACTTGACTAGTTGCGACAGAGACTGGCCTGCAAATCCTAAAGTACTCAAGTCTGCCCTTTACAGAGCAAAGCTCTGACCCGGGTGTGGAAGATGCACTAACGTGGTGGTGGTGCAGTCTCCAGCCGGAGGCTGGTCAGCAATAGAACGGCTCAAGGTAGCGATACCGCTGCACCCTGGGCGAGCTGGCGAGACCGTGTGCCGAGTGAGGGGCCAGATGCAGAAGCGCGCGTGTGCGGTTCTGCTGATAGGAAACGCCGGGGAGAGGCAGGTCTGTGGGGACAGCACTGGACCAGTGGCTGCCTGGACTGGAGTAGGAACCGGGATTGGCTGCAGCAGGACACGGGGAGCTTTTTGGGGCGATGGAATTCTTCCCAGAGCAGCTGGTGGTGATGGTTGTACAGGTGAAAGTTATCCAATTGTACAATCAAAATGGATGAATTTTACTGAATAAAAATTAAATTATACTTTAATAAAAAATGGTAGACCCAGCTCCAAAAGTTGAGGTACACTTTGGTCGAAAAAACACACTAAAAGAATGTCATAGGAACAGGAGTCAGTTGTCCCCAGACCAGGTGGACGGGGTGCCCCAAGTCAGACCGTGGACGGAAGCACGCAGAGCTTCGCTCTGAGCGGCTGGCGCTGCTCTGCTCACCATTCAGTAATCAGCCGTCGGGCGTCCTTCAGGACGGGAGATGGGCGCCTGGTGCTGAACTCTGGGGGACATCACGTGGCTCTCCATGTGAGGGGATCACGCACCACGGGGACCAGCGTCTGCAGCGGTGTTGTGGCCTTGGCGCTCAGTGTCGCCTCTGCATGTGTTGCTTTGTTCTTTATTCTTTTGCTCGTGCCCACCTTCATCCCGTCACTTATTTATTCCTTCATCCAAAATCACATGAGGCGCTGTGCTGGGTCCCAGGTTACGATGAATTGCGATTCTGAGAGGTGTTTCCGTGGAGTCAGAGCAGAAGGTTGTTTCCTGTGAAGCTCATGACTCATTCAGTCCAGTTCAGTGGGCGTTTTCTCAGTGCCTGCTGTGTCTTCGACTTTGTGGAGTATAGACCCTTAGATAAGAGGCTGTCCTTTAAACTGTGGGACGAGGTCAAGGCCGTAACAGCCCCACCCCCACCCCCCGGGCAGCAGAGGTTTCCCCCAGACCAGGTGCTGCACTGAATCTTTGCTTCCCCATCTCCTTCAGTCTTCCTGACTGCCTCAGCTTGGTGTTCCTGCCCACTTTCTGTAGGGAAGGAAGCTGAGGCTGGGAGAGTGGCCTGCCCGAGGCATCACAGCCGGGCAGGAGCTCCGGCTAGATTTGAACTCTGACCTTGTGGGTCCAGAGCCCAAGTTCTCACCTCTGTGTGTGCCACGGGGGCCGGGGAGTCAGAGCATGAGCTCCTGGGAGTTCAGAGGGGTCACTGTTAGCTTAATATATCCTTCCTTCCTTCCTTCCACCCGCCAGCCCCAGTCTGTCCGTCCTTCCATCCACTCACCCACGCACCCACCGACTTACCCACCCATCTACCCCCCATCCACCCATCTAAGAGCCCAACAAACATTTATTGAACACCTGCTCTGTGCCAGATGCTGGGAGAAGGATACAAATGAGATCCCCCTTTGAGGCTCTCCTGGTCTGGTAGGAGGACAGCTTGGCTGGGCCGGGCTGGCCTTGCTCACTGATCTCGGAGAAGAAAAGCTGTGCTGATTCGTGGAGCTGAGGGACTGGAGAGCTGGAGATGTTTTACTCAAAAGCACTAAAGAGCTCCCCAGGCTCTTAGCTCTGTCCTGGGGCACACATGTGGTGCCAGTTAGAGGAGCCTCACCTGGATGCTAAGATGGGCTCCATGGAGCTGCAGCCACATGGGGGACCATTGGGTCCAGAGACCATTGAGTGCCTTTGAAAGGTGTGTGTTGGAAAGCTGGTCTCATTGAAGTGTGGCCAGCCTGCTAGCACACCTGTGCCTCTCTCTCGTCTGTGGGCTTGCATGGTGGTGCGTGGTGGTGGTGGAGGGGTGAGCACCACACCCAGGGGCCAAGTTCAGGTTGGAAATACACAGAAGTCCCCGGGGAGGGTGGGCTTAGTCTATGAGTTGAGAGTGGCCAGGGCCCTCCTGGGAGATGATGGGGAGGTGCTGGGGCAGGAGGGACCAGGACCTCGTGTCTGCGTCCTGGTCCATGGGCACTGGGTGCGGGTGTGGCTTCGTCTGTGCCAGTGCTGCATGCAGAAGATGAGGATTGGGGCTCCTGTTGGCCTGGTGGTGCTCACGGCAGACGAGAGCGGCAGTGCCAGGTCCCGGCACTTGCTCGTTCGTTCTCTTGTTTGACGGCATGTCTTGAGCACCAGCTCCGTGCCAGGTGGCATCCTGGGCACTGGGATGCGGTGGCGAACAAGACAGACGAGGTCTCACTCCAGCGGGAGGATGGAGACCGTGAAGAGGGGAGGGAGGGCGCGAGGGCTGAGGTTTTGGGGGCAGGAGGGGTGGTTTGATGCCTGTGGTTCTGACGCTGGTGATGGGGTGCAGCCTTGCATGTGATTAGGCACCTGGGCTCTGGGGTCAGAGGCCTGGCTTTAGGGTCTGGATCCACCACCTGTGTGGCCTTGAACAGGCCACCTGGAACTTGAAGCTGAGGTCTCCTGAGCTGTCAGATGGGGACCATAGCACTTCTCACTGAGTGGGCTGTTTGGGGACCGGAGAGGCATATCATGTTCGAGCAGCCTGGCTCCATGGTTGGTTTGAAGACGTGTGTGAGGCTGGGTGGTGATGGTGTCCGTGGACGCCGGCTGTGCCTGTGGAGCCTGTGCTGGTTTTTGAAGGGGTGAGGTGATGGCACTGGGGTGAAGGAGATGGGGATGAGCCCAGTGCTAATGGCAGCGGGGTGATGACGGCGGTGAGGCCTGTGGTGGATAGAGGAGGGGGTATGGTGGAGGTGCCACCAGGAGGAAGAGGTGTACAAGGAGTGTTGGGAACGGAAGCACCCCAGGGATGGAGGGGGCTGCGGGGGCAGGACAGTGCCTCTGCCGCCTGTTTCAGCCACGCTGTCTCTGTGCAGCAGGAGCGTCTTCAGCTGGACCGCCTGAAAACTCAGCTCTCAGACGCCATTCAGCGCTACGGAGTGGTGCAAAAGGTGAGCCATGCCCAGGGAGAGTTGGCCAGCCAGCTGGGTGGGCCTCAGACCCTTGAGCCCCGACTCTGGCTGTCTCGTCCCTGGGTTGGCCTGGGTTGGTTGTGTCCCCCAGAACAGAGGAAGGGCTGGCCTTGCAGACACTTGACAGTTGCCAGAATCCAGCTGCCATGACCTCAGGGTGTGTGCAGTGAAGGGTGTTTACCTTCTGGTGCTGCTTACGAGTCGTCCTCACAGCGGCCTCCTGGGAGGTGGGAAGAACAGGTGTCGCCTGTTCCGACAGGTGAGGAGACTGAGACCCAGAGGGCATAAGTGTGTGGAAGGAGGCTATCCAGCAGACTGTCAGCAGAGCCCAGCCCAGCTTCCCATGTTCCCAAGAGCCGGGACAGCTGCGTTCCCTCTGGGAGCTGAAGGTTTGCTTTGCTGTCAGTCTCTGTCTGGTACTTAACGTTTACCTGACTGTTCTTCTCTCCTCCCTGCCTTTTCTCTTCTTCCCACCTCCTCCTCTTGTGCTTTCTCCAACAGAAAATTGCAGAGAAGTCCAGAGCACTGCTTCCCACAGCACAGAGGGGTGCCAAACAGGTGGGTGCCGAGTGTTGACCAGGGTCAGTGGGCCTCAAGGGACGGCACAGGGTCCAGTGCCATTGGTGCTCCAGGGAAGAGCGGGGAGGATTGGGGATAGGACCTGTCTGAGGGGGTCTGCCTTGACAAATGACCTTTCAAAAAAGTGGTATTTTAGTCGTAGGTCTCTGGCACGGGCTTGACACGGGGCGAGCTCCCCAGTAATGATTGTTGGCAGTTCCTCTTCTGTGCAGGACTAACTGTCAGACCAGTCCTCCTGTATGAGCAGAAACTGATAGAAGATCTAGAAAAGAGGATAATTGGAGTCCTAAGTGGACAGCAGGGAGAGAGAATGGACAGAAACAATATTTGAAGAGGTAATGGTTGAGAATTTTCCAAAAATGTCCAAATACTTCAAGCCACAGATTGAAGAAGCTCTAGGATAAATCGGGTACATTTATCCTATTTCTTAAAAACCACTCTTCGTCACATCATAATAAAATATTGAAAACAAAGACAAAAATAACATCTTAAAAGCAGATTCAAGCTTGAGAGATGTCACATTATTTTAAAAGAATAATGAGACTGACACCTCACTCCTTAAAGGAAACAATGGAAGTCAGAAGACAGTGGAAAGACATCTTCAAAGAAAATAACCATGAACCTAGAGTTCTGCATCTGGGGAAGACATTTCTGTGAAGTGAATACATTTTTAGAGAGCCAAAACTAAGAGAATTTATCATCAACAGAACTCTAAAAGTAGAAAAAGGAAGAGGATCTCAGACAGAAGCACAATAATGGGGGAAGGAGCGATGAGCACTGAGAACAATAAAATGTGGATGTGCCTGAATTCATGGTGACTGTCGAATAATTATAATGACTGTGGGGTTTGAGATGTGGGGCAAAGGAGAATGCTTGGGTAACGTAGCACAGAGCACGTGGGATTTAAATGCTGTTAAAGTGTTGTAATGTCCGTGCGTCACCAGGGGGGTGACAGGAATACTAAAGGTAGACTGTCATAAGCCAGGGATGCGTGTTGCCTTCTGTAGGTAGCACTAAAAGGACAATACAAGAATAGAAACTATAAAATAAGTTAATAGAGAGGAACATATGAAATAATAAAACAAAACTTGGTTAATTTAAAAGAGCAAAAAAAAGAAAAATCAACAAAAAACAGGAAAAATAGGAAACAAATTATAAGATGGTAGATTTATACCATTTATAATTATTTTAAATTAGAATGGACTGACCCCTCCAATTAAAAGGCACAGATTGTCAGACTTGGTTAAAAGAAAAAAACTATGTAGTGTTTAGGAGAGGCACACATTAAGTATAAATCCAGAAAAACGTTGAAAGTGAAAGGGTGGAAAAAAGATATGTTGTGCAACCACTAACCAAAAGAAAACTATTCAGCTATATTAATATCAGAATCAGTAGACTTCACATGAAGGAGTGTTGCTGGGGGTGAAGAGATGTGTTTCATAAGGATAAAATGTCAATTCAAGTGGAAGATACAATTCTAAATTTATATGTACCTAATAATATAGCCTCAAAGTATATAAAGCAAAACTGACAGTAATAAAAGGAAAAGTAGTCAATCCACAATCATAGTTGGAGATTTTGACACATCTCTCTAAATGACTGATAGACTGAAAAAAAAAATTTAGTAAGGATATAAAAGATTTACTCAATACTATTAATTAATATACTTGGACCTAATTGATATTTATGACACCATATCCAGCCACAGGAGAATATATATTTCTTTCCGGTACACATAATGCATGTGCTGGACTGTAAAGCAAGTCTCAACAGATTCCAAAAGGTTGGCGTAATACTGAGTATGTTCTCTAACTGGAGTGCACTTAAACTAGAATCTGATAACAAAAAGGAAATTGCCAAGGGTTGAGGATTTAAAGAATACAATTGGATGAAATAACCTATGGATCCAAGAAGAAATCACAGTCGAAATTAGAAATCATCTTGAACTGAACAAAAATGAAAATGAAAATAAGTCAAAACCTGTGGGATGCAGTTAAAGCAGTGTTTAGAGGGAAATTTATAGCTTTAAACACATTTATTAGAAAAGAAGAAAGCGTGAAAATCGATGATCTAATTCTTGATCTCAAGAAGCTGGAAAAACAACAAATAATTAAATCCAAAGAAAATATGTAGGAAAAAGCAGAAATCAATGAAATACAAAACACACGCACCGTAGACAAATTCAACAAAGCCAAAAGTTGCTTCTTTAGAAAGATTAATAAAATTGTTGAACCGTTACAAGATTAATCAAGATACAGAGAGAAAATACAAATTACTAGTATTAGGAATGAAAATCAAAATATTACAGATCCTACAAATAAAAAAAAGTAATATGAAGATGTTATAAATAACTTTATGCCAATAAATTTGACAACTTAGATGAAATATAAGGTTTTTTAGACAAATGTAACTTAGCAAGATGTATAGAAAATCTAGAAAGCCCAATATTTATTAAAGAAATGAAATCCATAATTAAAAAAACATCCCACCAAGAAAACTGCAGATCTAGATGGCTTTACTGGTAAATTCTTCCACATATTTGAGGACTAAATAATACCAACTTACACAAACTCTTACAGAGAATATAAAAAAAGGAAGACATCCCACCTTGCTGTATGAGGCCTCCAGGTTCTTACGAGGGCCTCACAAGGAGGAACATAACATGTTCTCTCCTGGGCACTCAAGCAAACATCCTAACCCAAATATTAATAAGCTACAGCCAGCAATATGTAGAAAAGGCAATACATCGTCATAAAGTGGGCTTTATTCCAGAGATGCAAGGTTGGTTTACATTCAGAAATAACTGCTACAATTCACCACGTTAACAGAACAGGTAAGACAATCTACGTGACCATCTCAACAGATACATGAGTGTTTGATAAAATGCAGCGCCCATCAGGGGGGTGGTCAAGACTCGCAGAAAACTAGGAATGGATAGGAATGCCTTTGATCTGAGAAGAGTCTTCAAAAGCCCTGCAGTTAGCGCCACACTTACTGTTGAGATGAGAATCTCTTCTCCTGAGAGTGAGGACAAGACACTGGGTCTGGTACTATTCCATTGTGCCAGAGTTTATCCAGTGCAGTGAGGCAAAAAAAAGGAAGAAAAGGAAGAGATCACTTCACAGACAGCGTGATTGTGTAACTAGAGAACGTGGATGCATCTGCAGACAAATGTAGAATTAGTACTAAGTGAATGTCACAGGCTGACTGGCACTGGGTTGGTATACAGGAAAACATCGTGTGTGCTGGCAAAAGACGATTTGGAAGTGAAATTTAGAAAGTGGTACCATTTATAACAGCATCAAAACTAGGAAGAAGCCTCTCTATATAGGAAACTACAAAGCATTACTGAGAAATTACAGAGGATCTAAATAACGGAGGGCATACCATGTTTATAGGGTGGAAAACTCAATACATAGAGATGTCAGTCTCACCAAATGGATCTGTGGATTCAGTACAATCCAAATAAAAATCCCAGCAGGTTTTGAGTGTGTGTGTGTGATGTGTGTGTAAATTGTCAAGCTGAGTTTAAAATATGTATGGAAATATAAAAGGCCCAAAATAGTGAAGACAGTTTTGAAGAAGAACAGAACTGGAGGATTTACAGTAACAGGTGTCAGAACACAGTATAAAGCTGTAGAAATTACAGGTGTGCTCTTTGTTGAAGGCTAGACAAACAGAGCAGGGGGAGCAGAATCGAATCTAGATGCAGACCCCCCCACACGCTCGCCTGGCTTGTGCAAGGTGTCCTGCCGTGCAGTGGGAAATGGAAGATTAATTCTGGACTTGATACTGGATCAGTTGGATGTTTGAATTGGGAAAAAGGATCCTGCTGAGCAGATGGCAAGTCCCAGTCCAAACACTCCTGTCCATCCACTGCGTCTCAGTATCGGGGTTGCAGAGGAACACAGCACAGTCAGTCACTGAGGGAACTACGCTTTACTCACCTAGAGAGAGACAACAAGATCAGCTGCCACAGTGGGCATGGTCCCCCGTGGCCAGCGGGTCCCTCCAGGCAGCTGACAGGGCCATTGACCTGCATGCACCCCCTTGTAATGCAGCAGAAGGACCTGGTCCCTTCCCCGCAGGGGACAGACAGAGCCGAGGGTTGGCTGGGTGCTGTATGATGCTCACGCTTTAGCAGAACAAAGGATCGTGCATAGAGTCTAAAACAGGGTGCAACGTTCCCACATGAGGTGACGAGCCCAGCGCAGCCCTGAGGGCTCCATCTCTTGGTGAGGCAGTGCTCCAGGCCCACGGCCCGTCCTTATGTGGCTGAAGAGGCAGAAGACTGCATGCTCAAGACTGCCATTCCCAACAGATCCTTTACCCCAGCTCGCCCCTTGCACAAAACACCCCAGCTGCATCATAGACCTAAATGTCAAAGATAAGGCAATGCAGCTTCTGGAAGATACCATAGGAGGCTATCTTCACATCTTTATGGTAAGCAACCATTTCTTACACAGACAAGAAAGTACTATCTGTAAAGAAAAGATGGGTAAACTTGACTTTGTTAAAATCAATACACCCTTAAGAGTGAAGAGGCAACTCTCAGAAAGTGAGAGAGGGTGTTTGCACAACACATGTCTTAAGAGGACTTATCTCCATCATATATAAAGATCTCTTACAAGTCAATGAGAAAAAGGCAGCGCAATTCTAAAACATGAAAGGGCAAAAGCCTTAGGCAGGCACGCCACAAGACGGACGTCCTAGCGGCTCGTGGGCACGTGAACGTGTGCTCAGTGCATGTCGGAGGGCCGAGTCAACCCACAGTGCTCTGTCACCACACACCTTACACTCAGCACAACAACTGAACAGAACAGGGCCACAGCCTGCCGCCGTTGGCCGACTCTGCACAGACTCCACCAGAGCTCACGCGCTGCGTCCGCGGCGGCAGACAGGTGCTTCCCCAGCGCTGCTTCCACACGGCACAGGCAGAGAGCTGCCCCTGGCCCCCCTTCCTTTATTTAATTTGGGTGCGGGGGAGGGATCGCTGCAGTCATGCGGGTTCTGGCACTCTGGGCTTGATGGGCCTCCAGAAACTTCCATCAGCTCACAAATAGTCGTTTGGAGAAACCAGTGACCAGCCTGGGTTACTAACCAGAAGCTGTCTTTCTGAAGTGTGTGCCTGGTCGCCCCTGACCCCTGCCCTCCCGCCAGGGTCGTGGATGTTCCTACGTGGATCCCACAGTTGGAGTACGTGGGAAAATGGCCCAGTTCCCAGAGCCCCTAAGAACCCTGGGCTCCCTTCTCCTCGCTGGCCCTGGGCAGGGCCGTGCTGACCCCACCGTGCGTCCTCCCCAAACACCCACGGGGCGTCACCTCTTCTCATGGGAAAGCATCACAGCCCCGCTCTCCGCAGTCACACGGGATTGGGGTCTCCTCCCTACTTGTCAGAGTGGGACCCAAACCCTTGGCCTTGGAGGGAGCAGAAAGCTGCCTTTGTTGGCCCTGCTCGAGCTGGAAACCCATCACACGGCTGTCCCTCCGTGCAGCCCCAGCGCCTTGCCAGCAAATCCCTAATCCTGGCTTTGGAGCTAAAGACCCAAATTGGGCCTTTGTGCAGAGAATAAAAGGGAGCTTTCTGATCCTTTCAGGAGAGGAGCCGTGGCGGGATCAGGCGTCTCAGCCGTTTCTTCCTCCCTTCTCTTATCATGAGCCACTCGGGGCTGGCGGCCCACTACCTGTGGGGGGAGAGCACACAGGGGGTCAGCAGCTGGCCCACGCTTACCCGTCTGCAGGGAGGGCCAGCATCCTTGGCTCTCAGCTTTTGGGGAGCTTCCACTGAAACCCCAAACTCCAGGGAAGGTGACATCCCATCCTGTGGCACTTCCTCCATCCAGCATATCTGATTTGTTCATTTACCTGGTCCATAGTGTTTACTGTATGGATATGCCATCGGTTTTCCAGGTTCTTCTCCTGTTGGCAGGGCTTTGCAGTTCCAAACACTGCCGTGGTGAGCGCACCTGTGTTTCTGTCCCTGGGCGCACAGGGGAGGGCACCTCGGGCGGCTCTTACCACATGGGAAGCTTTTAGGAGCCCCACGCCAAGGTGCCCAGGCTGATGGAATCAGAGTGGAGTGCGGGCCGGGTGCCCCGTTCTAGAACAGACCGTGTTGGGAGGTGGTGGACATGCTGCTTTGCGGAGGCGCACACCCTCGGCATCCCACCTGCAGGCCGGGGCGTCCTGTGTCCCGAAACTCACTTGACCTTGCAGATGGCACGGTTCTTCCTGTTCCCGCCTGGGGGCTCAGGTGGCATCTTGCCTCCACGTGTGCCTCCTGACGTTGGCAAGGTGGTTGGGTCTCACCATCTTCATCTTGTTCGCTTCTTTCCGTGACTGGGGGACATGGTGGTGTCAGCCCATCTTACGGAAATGAAGACAGGCTTGGAGAAGGTCGGAACCTGCCAGGATCACACGCTATAAGCGACGGAGTTAGCTTTCCCTGTTCCCTTGCCGCTGCGGGCCGAGGGCATGTGCGGTCAGTGAGGAGAACCAGCTGCCGCCCCTCTGGTGGTGGTGAGGAGTGTGCCGGGCAGTGCACGGTCGGGAGACAGGACGGGTGGGAGCACAGCTGACCTGTGGTGAGCACGGGCCACGGCCTCGGGGTACCGGTCACTGTTCCCACCCTACGGACAGGACGCTGAGACCCTGAGAATGTGCGTGACCGGCCCGGGGCCTCCAGTGGTGCTGGTGCTGGGCCAGGACCTGTGACTTGGCTCCGCGCAGCTTAGGAGGGGGGCGCGGGGTCTGGCTCGGGGCCAGCCCCCATCCGCTCCCACCCGCCTGGCACTGCTTGCTTCCTCCTGCCCACGCCGGGAAGGGGAGGTGATAATTGCTGCCTTGGACTCGTAGCACTCGTCAACAGATTTTGTAGATCCTTTATCTTACATTCATCTCTTCACGTATTTATGTATTTAAAGGCCTGCGCCGACTCCCGGGGGAAGAGGTTCGCCTGTGTTAGCGTGGTGTGTAGGAAGAATGGCGGCTTTGGAAGGAGAGCCGGGTTAGCGTGGGCTTCACCGTCCCGCGTGTGGGCCCAGACGGTCACCCTCCTTAACGGAGAGTGAGAGAGCCCACCTCGCGGGCTGTGAGCAAAACTAGAGAAAGAGAGTGCTTGGCCTCATGCCGTGTCCCCCAACAGCTCCGGTGCTGGCGGTGGTGGCGGCTGTCGATGCTGTTGGTCCCGTTACCACCAGGGCCTCCTGCAGGACACCACCTGACGTCACCCCTCCTAGGCGCAGTCGCACACATGGCTTTCGCAGCATCACGTGCCCGCCCGTGCTGGCACTTGTCACAAGTGTGCTGAGGTTCTTCCTTGTGGGATTTGTTGGTTTCAGTGCCCGGCCAAGTGCAGTGCCGCGCATCCATGCAGAAGCTCTCACCGTCCGTCCGCTTTGTCCCCGGGCCTGGCACGGGCGGGCCGTCGTGGCCTCTGAAAGTGTGCGGGTGACAAGGGAGCCTCTAGACCGTTCTCCCTCTGCCGCTGTGGGGGGGGCCACAGGAGGAGGGTCTGCCGGGAGGACGAGCGCGGTCCCGTAACTGCCACCCAGAGACACTTGCTCACCGGGTCTGCAGGGTCGCCCCAGCCCAGTGGGCCCTGAAGCCCCCGGTGTCCCACGTGGCACCTCCGCTGGCATCAACCTAGCCAGCACTCTGCCCTGCGACCACCCTGAGCTGCACGGGACGTGGGAAGGTGGTCTTCCTTTCAGGCAGACGTCAGGGTCCCATAATGCTGGTACAGCAGAACACAGGCACGTGGCCGCCTCTGCAGTGCCTTCCAGGACGACTGGCCTAGAGAGCGCTGGGGATGGGCGGCCGCAGAGGAGTCTGTGAGCCACGGCCAGGTGCAGTCCAGTCCCGTCCCCGTTGCCCACACTCACGGGAGGGGCTCACCCCGAGCTGTATACTCGCGCTGGTTGAGTGGGGTGGCAGCTGCACCCGCCGTCTGTCCGTGTGCCGGCGCCGACTTCTGGAGGATCCCACCGGGCCCTGCCTCTAGGACAGCGCTGTCTGGGCCAGGAGGAGGGCGTTGTGGTCAGGGTCAGCACCCAGACCGAACTGAGGTCGCCCACCCTGGGGCAGGGGAGAGGTGAGGAGGCCCCAGTGCAGCTTGGGGGATGGAGTCGGCCAGGGAGGAAGCTGTTCCAGCCCTGGCTTCTGGCGGCCCCTTCCACGTGCCCGGGCTCGGGCGGCAGCATCCCTCTCCTGGTTCTGCGTGTCTGCCCTGCAGCGCCTCTGTGCTGGAGTTGGAGCTGCATCCCTGGCTTCCCGGCCTGGCTGTTCCAGCCCCGGCGTCCTCCTCTGTGATATGGGCTCACGGCCGCCCCGTGCAGGGTGGTCGGGAGTGTCAGAGACAGCTGGCTCCACGGAGCTGTGACACATGTGAGGCGAGGAGCACTGGCCTCCAGGCCGCCCTCCCATGGCTCTGCCTGTCCTCTGCCCTTTCCTGTTGCCCTTTTGATTTCACACACATGCGTGTGCGCGCGCACACACACACACTCATACACACACATACGTTCATACACACGTTCGTATACACATACATTCACATTTGTGTACACACACACTTGTTCACATTACCTTCACACACGTGCATGCATTCACATACACACATTCACACACACGCTCACACATATTCACATACACATGTACACACTCGCGCACATACACCCCCGCGGACTGCGGGAGGGTGGGGAGCAGGGTGTGCCATTTCTGGCCTCCTAACGGGGGGAGGGGCCGTGGGGTACAGATCAATAATATTTGTTGTTGCACATTCTCAGTTAAATTACAAATGTACACATGAAGCCGTGGCTCTGGTGTGGGTCCCGTTCCCGCCTCCTGCCCTCCCTCACCTCTGTGGGGTGCCCAGGGTGGGGGCAGCCCTCTACAGACACCCCCGAACCCCTACTCCGGATCTGACACTTCAGGGGAGGATTCCAGCTCCAATCTGTGCCCAGGTTGCCCCATCAGAGAGCGAATTGAGTTCATTGAAGGGAAAAGCCACCATTTTATTGAATTTCAAAATTTGTAAATTAAAGAAATTAATAAAGAATAAAACAACTTAAAAGTATCCCTCGGGCTTGGTCAGGGATCCCTGGTCCGAGCGAGGTGGGTTTTGTGGGGCGTGCAGTCCCTGGTGGTGTCTGTGCCCTGCTCTGTGTGGTGTCCACCCCTCGTGTGCACGGCCCCTGCCCGGCAGCCACACCTCCGGCCTGTGACCAGCTCTGGGACAGGCTTTCAGGGACTCACAGTCCCCACACAAGAAGTGAGGGTTTGTGTTCGTGCTCCTGGGGGCATTTTGTGGGGGTTCACAAAGAGGCCCGTGACTCCCAAGAGCTGGGAACCTGGAGACTGTGCTCTGCAGGGTCTTCCATGTGGCCGCGAGTTGGGCGGGGCAGTGGGGTCCTGCTGAATGCTCCCTGCAGCTAGACCTGGGATGGCCAGAGGGGTACACGGGCAGAAGGGCAGGGACCCGTGTCCAGCTGTCCCTCATCCCTGCTCCCCATTTGCAGCAGCCTCCAGCGCCCCATGGCCCTGTGGGTATGTCCCCCAGCGACAGGGTGCAGGCCCCAGCCCACAGCCCCGTCAGGGCTGCAGAGCCCAGGCTGCCGCCTCCACTCCCCTCGCCCAGAGCTGGGGGCTGGGGGACACGCAGACTCCCCGAGCCTCTGGGCGTCTGGGAGCTCAGGCTCAGCCTCGAGGAGGGGCCGGGAGGAAGAGGCGGCCTGGGCCTGGTGGCAGCGAGGTGTGCCTGTGGTAACGGGGTGTGTCTCTGTCATCAGCAGAGTCCTGGGACCCCTTTTGCGGAGCTGGCAGACAATGAGAAGATCTTTAACGGGAGTGACAGCATGTGGCAGGGCCAGGAGCAGGCGCTGCTTCCGGAGATCACTGAGGAGGACCTGGAGGCCATCCGGCTGCGCGAGGAGGCCATCCTGCAGATCGAGGTGAGGGCCTGGCATGCGTGTGTGGGAGTGTGTGAGTGAGTGTGCAGGTGGCCTCCTGTCCCGTGGTGCTGGACGTGCACTCAGAGCTCAGCAATTGGACGGCTTGGCGGGGACGTGCTGCCTCTGTCGATGGTGGGGTCTGAGCCCCCCGTGTGTGTGACCTTGGGCACTGGGGTCTGAGCCCTTGCGTGAGACCGTGTGTGGTGGGGTCTGGGCCCCGCGTGTGTGTGACCATGGGCGGTGGGGTCCGAGCCCCTGCATGTGACCATGTGTGGTGGGGTCTGGGCCCCCCGTGTGTGTGTGACCATGGGTGGTGGGGTCCGAGCCCCAACCTGTGCCATGGGCACGCTCCATCCTCCCTCTGGGCCTCGGTCTCCTCATCTGCAGGCAGAGGAGGAGGAGGAGTAGCCTGCCCACCCTGAGCTCCCAGAGGCCGGGTTTCAGCAATGAAGGTCCCCTACAAGCAGCTTCTTCTAGATAAACAGGGGCCTGGACAAGTTGGTAAACTGAGTCACCAGCTCAGAACCCATCGCCATGTCGCCAACTAGTAGATCTTATGTCCCGGAAGGAGGTGGACGCCCCACGGGAGGCAGAGTTGGGCCCCCGTACTTTGGGGCCCTCCCGCTTGGGCCTGTGGGGTGCTGTTTCTCAGGGTCTTTGTGCGGGCCCCCGCTCTCCTCACCCCGTCCTCGCTCCTCAGAATGTGCTGCTCCTGGCCCGGCCCTGGCGGGAGGCAGCGTGGGGCTGCTCTTGGGAAGACAGGACTCCCTGTTGCTGGGACGATCCAGAGAAGGACCAAACACACGCACACGTCTTGATCCCTCTGTGGCAGCAGGACCTGCTTTTCCTGGAGAAGCTGAGAAACAGATCCAGGAGCTGTTGTCCCTAGTGACTCGGGGTGCTGGGGGCCCAAGAGGCCGGGGGACGCCTCCTTCCTTTAGCTCAGGAACTGAAACCTTCTTAGAAGAGCCCCCACAGCCCCTCGGGCACACCGCTGGGGAGTCTGGACCCCTGTGCATGGTGGGATGAAGGGGGCGGAGGAGGGGGGCTGCTCTTGATCGACTTGGCGTTGTCCTGGCCCCCAGGGAGTGGACGTGCAGGTGCCCCATTGGCCCCCAGGTGTGAGGACACAGGCAGTCTGAGGGCTGCCCCCCAGGAAAGGCTGGGAGCTCCTGAGCAGATGGGCGCTAACTCCTGAGGCTGAAGCCGCAGGATGGGCCATGGGTTCCAAGCAGCATCTTGCTTGGGGCCAGCTGGTGCCTTGGACAGCCTGCTGGTGGCTGAGGGGCTGAGGGGCAGCTGTGCCGCTTGGCAGCCCCAGGGTGGGGTTCAGAGGGGGAAGCTGGGCCCCGTGTGAGCGAGGTTCTCACTCGTCAGGCAGCAGGCCCTGGCGTTGCTCTGGTTCTCTGTGTGGTGAGTACGGGGACAGGGGTGGGCTTTACAGGGGCGAGGGGGCCCCACGTGGAGGCCCCTGCAGTACTTCGGCTGGGGCCTGGGCCCAGCGGGAGAGGGGCCGGGGCTCTGGGCTGACCGGGGACTGCGGCTGACGTGGGGCTGGCCTGAATCCCTCAGTCTTGTCTGTGGCCCTCAAAGCCGAGCTGGGGGTGAGCAGGGGGCCCGTGGGTAGTGGCCAGCCTCGCCTGTTAGCCTCGGTCTTCTCATCTGCAGCATGGCATCAGGTGCCGGCGGCTGGAGGGTGATGGCGTGGACATCGGCATGGGTTTGGAAGGCAGTGAGCACCACAGCTCCCTGCCTCCCTGGCTGTGGTCTTTGAAAATGGGAAAGACAAACACAAATTGTCATTAGCCTTTATAAAGCCTTGCTCCAGGTTTAGAGCCTGTCCTGGAGACAGAGCATCTCAAACGTGACTAATGAGGGAGGGGCCCCGATGTGAGCCAGGAGCGCGGGGAGGGAGGCAGCAGAGGCCCAGCCGGGGTCCGAGGGGCAGGCGGGCATCCCCAGGCCCCTCCAGGATGGCCCAGAGCCCAACTGCTCAGGGTTCTCGGGAGTTGTCTCTGCACAGCCACCGCGGCCTGCAGGGGTTTGGGCTGCCGTCCTGGGCGGGTGTTTTGGGGAGGGGGCTGTGGGAACAGCCGCGGGAAGGCACACATTGGGGTTCACACCTTGGCCAGTTGCAGACTTTCCATGTGGAACTGAGCTAGCCACTTAGCACCCCCCCCCCCCATGAACCCCCCCGACCCCTCACTCTGTCCCCCACTGCATTCTCCCACTCCACCCTGCCACCAGACCCCCAATCCATCCCCCTACTCTGTCCCCGCACCAGCTGCCCACATCCCCGTGGCTTTTGGATTTGCACAGTTGTGTGCATTCACGAAGACGCCCGAGGTGACACTTGGTGTCTGGGAACGCCCTTTCAGGCTCTTGTTTGCTCTCAGGGACTTACCTTATTGGGTGGGTGGTGGGGGGTGTGGACAGACGGGGAAACTGAGGCCCAGAGAATGGAATCAAGTCACAGCAGCAGGTTAACGTCACGTCCGATTCCTTCCTGCTTCGAGGCCTCTGGCAGGCATTTATGGGGTGAACGCTGGGCCTGGCGCAGGGCTGGCGCTGAGGGTGCAGAGCTGGTGGCTCCTCTCGGTGTCCCTTCTTTCCTTTCTTGCCCTCCTCCTCCCCAGATCATCCTGTGGGAGGTGACAAAGTGCCGGACGGGGAGGCCACGTCCTGGCTTTAGGCCCAAGTCTGCAGTAACTAGCTGGGTGACCTTAAAGCCGCCACTTGCCTCAGTGGTTTTATCTGTGAAATGGGTGGGGCAAGGGACGGTCTCTCTCTCCAAGGCCCTGCCTGCACAGGGGGCCCTCTGGGGGCTGTCAGGGCAGCCGATGGGCACCTTGGCTCACTAGCAAGGGACCTGGTGGTGAATGGGCAGGAGACTGGAGACCACGGGTGCTGGGCCTCCCTCAATGATTCTGGGCCCTTGCTTAGCTCAGTGTGCCCACCGGGACCTGGCCTGTTAGGTTCTGAGTGAGGGTGTCCTGCCCCCGGGGCCTCTGTAGAGACCTGCCCCCAACCTCCCTGGGCAGCCCCGTCCTCTGTCAGCACAGTGTCCTTTGAGACCCTTTGGGGGCTCCCCATCTGTGAACACAACGTCCTGTGCCCCTTCCTTGGCCTGGATGCCCCCGAGATGGCCCCACTGTTCTCCTCCCCCCGCCCCTCCCGGGACGCCCACAACATGCCTCCCCAGCTCAGGGGCTTTGTGCCACGGCTCCTGCTGCCTGGAGCCCCTCCCCAGACCTCGACGTTGCTGGTGCCACCCCCCCCACCCCGCTCTGCTCTGTGCCCACCTCAGCACGCCCAGAGGCTCTGGTTGGTTTGGTTGTTTGCCAAGTTACTGTCTGTCTGTCCACCAGAACAGGGACCCCTTCTGTCTGGCGTCGGGCGCGATCCCCAGGGCCTGCAGTAGCTGGCTTGACGGATGCTTGTTGAATGAACCCATAAAACTGGCAAGTCCCCCACAACGATAGAGGCCTGTCCTGTGCCCCTGCCTGGGCTGCCCACCTCCAGGCCAGGTCAGGACCCCCGCGGGCAGCCTCTCACCCTCGTGCAGCTCCCACTTGGGAAGTTGCTCCCGTCCCTCGGCTCACTGTCCAGGCAGGTCTCTGCCTGCTGGCCTGGCCCTGGGCCCGCTTTTCGGCAATGTCGCTGTCCAGGGGCGTGATGGGGGCCTGGAGCCCTGGGGACACAGTGGGCACCCAGCTCCTGCTCCTCGCTGGCCACCGTGTGGAACACCTGCACGGTGCTGGCACCTGCTGCCCCTGCACTTTACCTGTCCTGCCCCCACGCCGGGTCCCTGTGCCTGTGGCCACATGCCTGGCCGAGAAAGCTCCATGTGCTGTCACCCCACCCCTCGCCTCCCTCCAGCCCTGCTCGTTCCACACCCCTTACAGAACTGCCAGGCCCTGGGGATGAGGGTGCCCCACAGGCCCAGGTTGCTCACAGGTGGCCCTCCCTGGCCTGAGTGCGCCTGCCCCGGGGTGTGGTCTCAGCTGCACTCTGTCCTGACCCCTGGCCTCCCGGGCCTGGACCACGCATGCTCTCCCAGCCTGGGCTCCATCTTGGTGCTGCCGTGTGCCAGCAGTGTGGCCAGGGCAGTTCCGGGCCCTCCCTGGCCTCAGTTTCCCTCCTGTGAGAAGTGCTGGGCCTTCTCTCATGGGAGCTGCCGATGTGCGAGGAGTGTTAGGGAGCGTGCGCGGGGCTGTGCCGCGGGTGTGCGGCCAGGGTTGGAGGCACCCCCTCCCCAAGAGCCTCCCCCGTGGGCTGCAGGCCGGGGGTGGGCTGCCCGGTGGGTAGCGCCAGTCCTGCTTTTCCCTGTGCCCTGTACGTCGGGCTTCTTCTCTTTCGCTTCCTGTAGAAGAATGGAGTTGAGAAAGCAAAATCAGCTACCTGCAGGGGGAGGCGGCCCGGGCGGCTAAGAGCTGTGTCCCTGGGGGTTTTGGTCGCCGGCTCACTGCCCGGAGAGCGGCTGCGGGTGGCCCTCTGGCTCCCGGTGCAGGAGACCTCTCTGGACAGCCCCTGCCAGCCCGAGAGCGGGGTGGGGACCCTGGGGCTGTGAAGGGTGGAGTGGCCACTGAGAGCAGGAGCTGCCTCAGCCCGGGCACATGCGTCCCGGGTGCACTCACATCGCGGCAGGACGTCACTACGGACTTCCTGATGGGAGACGCCACACGGCTGGGGCCCACGCGATCTGACCCCTCGCCTGGGCACCGCTGGCAGCCCTGGCGTTGGACCTCGCTTCGCCCGGTCCCTCCTGGGCGAGGTGCGACAGGAGGGCCACACCAGGCCAAGCTGACCTCCGCACGTGCAGGAGCTGGATCTCGGGGCCCCACCTCCCGCCCAGTGCTTGGCCTCCTCTCTGGGGCTCCTCCCTGCCCCTTCTTCAGAGGCCGCTGGTCTCTCTGGCCTCCCAGCCCAGGGCACCTGCCTGACTCTGGTCCTGGGCGGGCCAGGCCTTGGGGCCCCACACCCCTCAGGACCCGGAGCGT